TCTTAAGAGGAGCGTAAGTGATTCAACCATACTCTCTTATGATGTTGATGAGGTGCTCCTTTGTGGAGGGTGATGGCCCAATGTCCATCAGTGATATGTGCTCCTTTGTGGAGGGTGATGGCCCAGTGTCCATCAGTGATAATGTGCTCCCTTGTGGAGGGTGATGGCCCAGTGTCCATCAGTGATTGTGGGGGATAGATCATGTCTCAGGAGGAGCGTAAGTGATCTATCCTGTTTATGATGTGCTCCTTTGTGGAGGGTTGATGGCCCAGTGTCCATCGGTGATGATGATGTGCTCCTTTGTGGAGGGTTGATGGCCCGGTGCCCATCAGTGATGTTGAGTCGGTACCGTATGCATGTGTTGGGTTACATTCTTGCATTGTGATATGTTGTGTTGATGGTTGGACAGTAGGTCCTGTTTGATGTTGGTGGGGTGATGATTGTTTATTTACTGCCTTTTTATTCATGTATTTTATTACCGATAATTTTGATCATGTTTTCTCACCCCTTTGTTGTTGTTGTGGTTTGTGCTTCTTTGAAAGTACAGATAATCCAGGTACATAGCTAGCTTGGATAGTGGTGTTCGAGTCGAGTCTTAGGATGCTCTGATACGTAACACGGGACTTGGGGGTTTACTTTTATTATTACTGGATTTGTTTGTTCCTGTGACGTATCATGTTTGATGAACTTGTTAATGAATACTTTTGTGTATTTTGGCGGGTGGCCGTGAGCGATGAATAATGATAATTTTCCGCTGCTTAAATTTGAAAATCATATAATGAAAAGTTATGTTGAACTGTTTGAATGTAATATCCCACTGTTGGAAGGGAAATTCTTATGTTATTTTGAAATGAACGTATTTTATTAAGATTTGGAAAGTGGGGTGTTACAGGACGCCACCGTACCAGTTGCCAAAAGTTCATGAAACCTAGATTTCTCTATATCAATCTCTTCATCTCTCCATGCTGATCAATAATCCGTGTTCAAAAATCATTTCTACTCAAAGAACAGGCCAAATCGATGGCTTAAAGAAAATGTGCATTTCTGAAAAATGTCACAAATAGGTTTCTATCCTATCCTAAATTCATCTAGGAGTTGCCATGATCCTAACCACATGAATTTCAAGCTCTAATTAATCATGAACTAAGAGTAATTTTGAAAGTTAAGAACCTATGAAAAAGCTTTGACAGAGGTGTGATTTGTTGATGAAGCTTGCTCAAAACTATGCAGAAAGCTTCAATGGAGCTTGGCGAAGATTCTTGAACGCTCAATTTGCCTTGAGAATGCTTCAATCTTGAAATTTGATTTTCACCTTCAACCACTTTTCTCTAACTGCTTGTAACTAATTCTGGCGCCAATTCTCATCAAACTTCATCTGAAAATTATCTAGTGTTTATATAGGATTGATTTGGAATGATTTAGGGGCCCAAAAGTGGCTAGTTTGGCCCAATGCAAAATCCATTTTCTCCACTTTTTCACTTGTGTAAATGCACAAAAACAGAGCCAAGAAGCTTGCTAAATGAGTAAATTCACTTGCTGGTAGTATTAGGAACATGAAGGGATAGGATTGAGCCCTTTATTTTTGATCAATGGTGGATGTTGATTTTGTTTCTTCAAGCTTAAGAAACATGTGAAATGAGCATGTAAATGACTTCAAATCTCGAATGTGGTAATTTCATTGTTCTTAGAATGCATTAGTGACTCAAAAAATGCACTCATATGCCTTGAAATGGTTCATTTTGAATTAAATTGAATTTTTGACTTTAAATGCCTTTAGAGCTTCTTTTTATGAAATTTTCTTCAACCAATCTTCAATCCAATCCATATCAATGAATCCTTAGTGTTTGATTGAGTAAATAACCCCATTTTGAGCAACTTTCAAGTTGGACAAATTTTCATTTGAGGTATGCAAAGTGGTGAAATGGGCCTATAACCAAAATGGCCTATAATCTTACTTTCCCAAAATGCCATTGCCTTGCAGGCTTCATAACTGGAGCTATACAAATCCAATCAAGGACTTTTAGTGCTATTTGGAAAGCTAAAAAGATAAGGAACAACATTCATGTTAGGGTCAAGGAAGTTGGTCGACTTTCAAGTACCAAAATCACATTCATCCGATGACCTGTAACTTGTCTGCTTCATAACTTGAGTTTTATAAATCCCATCAAGGACTTGTAGTACTCAAAAGAAAGCTAAGAACATGATCTACAAGTTTCATGTTAGGGTCAAGAAGAGTTTAAACTTGCATCTTGAGCTATGTGGTCTTGAAGTTAGGCACTAAACTAGGGGATTTTACACTGTCAAGCTTAGAAACCCTAACCTAGGCACTTCTCTCACTCTTGAATATTGATGAGTTGGTCTTGGAATCATCCCTTGGGTGTATCAACACATCATTCCATGATCCCATGGCCTTGAAATTAGGTCTCAACCTCCTTCACTTCATCTGTTGACTTAAGGTTGACCAGATGAAACCCTTATTGCACCACCTTTGGCTGTAGCTTCTTACCTTGCATAATGACTTACCCAAGCTCCACAATGACTCTTAAGACATATCATGAGCTCTCTCAATGCTTGACATCCATATCCATGGATTTAAAATCATCTGATGATCTCCCACAACCATCAAGTTATGAAATATGCACATTTGTCTAGCCACTTCTCTGGGGATCTTTGACTTCTCTACCGAGGATAACAACCCTTGAATAATTGAGTGAAGACTCTTGAATAACCTTAGAACATGGTGGTAGCCCTTTCTTGGTAAGCACGGCTCTTAATCCCTGCACATATGACAATGCAATGCATATGCTAATGCTACAATGAATGCAATGAAACATAAGCTAGGTAAAGAAAAAGGTTGGGCAAATTTTGGGTGCAACAATTACCATTGCTTCCAAAACACTAATTCTGTATATTTTTGGTTGGGTTAACCAAAAATAAAGAAACAATGTCAAGTTGTATTCTTCTCATTCTCAATATGCTTAATTTGTTTTGCAACCCTAATATTTTAATAATACTAATCCCTCTTGTTTTTCTCATTACAGTGCTGCTGATAATTCTCTTAAGAGAGTTGAAAAGGTATGGTTATTTTTTGTATATTTACTGAAGTGAATGTATCAAGTGTTGGAGTTTGAATACATGCTCTAATTTTTTTAGACTTACTCTAATTTTTTTTAATATATTGAATTATGTTTTAAATGCAAGAGTTAGAGAAATGCAAGGAGATGGAGAAAGGCAAGGAGATGGAGGAATTAGAGATCTGCAAAATACATGTAAGTTTAGGCTCACTCTGATGTATTGTTATGTCAAATTCTAAATTGAAAACAATTGAAAAATGATAGAATAATATTGCATAATGTTCAAAGGACATGCATATTGTCTTGGAGTATTTGTCCGCTCTCTTGAACTTCTCAATACACAATAATATTGAAAGGACAATGCATGTCAATATACAAAACAGTGGCTAGGCATGATAACACTTGAAACTGTCCATAATTTATAAAGAAAATATGCTTTAATTAATTAGATTTGGCCCTGAGTTTTCCTCAATTACAAATTATGAAGACATGCCAAATAATAGACACGGTCGTTCAATCCATGATTCAACACTTCCAAAAATCCATATTCGGATTCGCGAATTTATGAACTAGAAAATGATTTTTAAGCCAATATAACAATATAAGTCTTTCCATTACATTTTTTTTTAAGAAAAATAAAATATAACTCTAGTGAAATATGCTTACATGTGTGGGATAAATAAATGGTAACTATCATCATATTCAGCACTATATATATGCATAAAGTGATGCTGCAACAATATCACAATTAGGCTAACATCAACTACCCAACGTATCCCACTGGACATATCTTTCATCAAGATCCTTAAGGTTGGACCTTATGTTTTTTTTTTATTATTTCTAATCAACTTACAACTTTCCATTATTAGTCTCCTAACAAGGTTGACAGAAACAAATTCTGCACAAAACTAGACCTCCCGACAGCTTGCCTAATCCTTTTCTTCCGCTCTTCGATACTCAAAGATTGATCAAAACTGCAAACAGAATACAAGACGCGGATCAAAGCCATGATTCGTCTATATAGAGTGAAATTCATAAATGTGATTGAGGAGTTAAACTTTACGAAGAAAAGTAGCACAAGAAATATCAAAATTCGTTGAAAATATCACAAGAAATTCCCTGCAGTTTTTACTTACCATTATTCACATATTGCATAATATTCACATAATGTTTAATCATTTATAAAATGGCAAGTTAAAGTATTATGTATAACTACTGATATAAATTATGCTATCACATTTAGCTATACATGATGCTTTACTAATTTTCTCGATCATTCTAAATTTAATATTATGTGGTGTACTGTCAAAAGCTATATGTGATATCAATATTTAATGATGCTTTACTATCAAAACTATATGTGATAGTAATATTTTGCTATACGTAATGCTTAAATAATACTCTCCATCATTCTACATTTAGTTATACATGATATAATTATTTTGTTACTTATAGATGATGTTTTACAATGCATACTGTAAAAGTAGTAATTTTTAAAGAATAATGTTACTTAAAGCATAATGTTCACATAATATTGACTTTGGTTACTTAAAGCATTATGTTATTTAAATCATAATGTTCGCTTTTGTTTTCTATACATGATGCTTTACATTACATATTGTCAATGTAGTAATTTTTAATAATTTAAGTTCTTTGTTTTAGCAAGTGGACACCACACTTCAGTTGTTTCAGCAAGTTGACAAAAAACAACAAGTGGGCAACAAACTACAACAACAACCGATCTTCCACCAACTGGCATAAAGAAAAGAAGACATAATGCCAATGGTAATAGAAAAAGATCTGAGGTATGGGATCATTTTAACCTTATTCCTAATAGTGACCCACCAACCGCTGTGTGTAAGTATTGCCATCAAATGTACATGTGTGACTCTAAGAAACATGGAACTTCAAACATAAAAGAGTCACATGAAAACATGTCCAAAGTATCCATTAAATGTGTCTACTGACCCTACCCAAACAATCTTATCATATTCAACAACCGAGGGAAGTGGGCTGCTTTCATTAAGTTCTAGGTTTAATCCTGTTGCTTGTAGAAACGGATTGGCTAATTTTATCATTTTAGATGAGAAACAATTCAAAACAGTTGAAGGGGATGGGTTTAAGTACTTTTGTAGGCAAATGCAACCCCAATTTTGTATACCGTCAAGGAGAACCATACCTAGGGACTGTTATCAGTTATATCTTGATGAGAAAGTGAGGTTGAAAGCGTTCTTTAAGTCTAATTGTAGTAGAGGTGCAGTTACAACAGATTGTTGGACTTCTGTCCAAAACCTAAATTACTTGACCCTCACTGCCCATTTTACCAATAGAGATTGGAATTACCAAAAAAGAATAATAAGCTTTACGGTTATTCCAAATCATCGGGGTAAAACTGTTGGTAAGAAGGTTGAGGACGTGTTGAAGGAGTAGGGGCTGAGAAATGTGTCTACCATCATGGTGGATAATGCATCATCAAATGATGTTGCTGTTAAATATTTGGAACAAAAAGTAAGAAACATGACTGGACTTTTGATGGATGGGTTTAGGTTTCACATGAGGCGTTGTGCCCATTGTCGCTACTGCGAAAATCGGCGCCGGCTGAACAGAAGAGTCGCCACCGTGCGTTATTTATCCCACGGGAGGGAAAGGAAACGCTCAGAGTAAACCTCGCACAACACGGGAAAGGTATGGTCATCGCAACCAAAACCTGGATTCGGGAGTCGGTTACGCAAGGGGAAGGTATTAGCACCCCTCACGTCTGTCGTACTCGACGGGATCCACGCTTGTTTTCGGGTATGGATTGTTATTCTATCTACTCTAAAGGTCTGGGGTTAAAAGAAAATAAAATGACTCGGCAAAGTATCGCACTTTATGCCTACGTATTCCCGTCTGGAACGAGAAATCAGAGTCAACGTAGTTCGCCTACCTACGGGAAAGGAGGGGAAGGTTGCTCGCTAGGATATCGCATCCTATGCCTACGTACTTCCACACAGCATGGAAGATCAGAGCAAACGTAGTTCGGGCCACGTACGACACAAGTCTGCCTTGGTTGATTTTATTCCTTCTGAAAAAGGTTTCTTTGATTAACAATCCCGGCGGACAAAAATGACGTCTTGATGAGTTTATATTCTTTTACGGAAGAAGTGTCTTTTATTGTGTTTGAGATCTTTATGGTATTTTTCTGTTTGTTTTGAGGAAGAAAAGACAGAACTCTAACCTACGGTTGCGAAGGGAAACAAACTAACCTAACGTTATCATGCATGGGTTAAGACCTAGTGTCTATCATGCTCCTCTCTTGCACAGAGAGAAACAGAGATCCTAAGGGATAGGCAGAAACAGAAACAATACTAGATATAATAAAGCAGTAAAATGCATGGATGCAACAGTACAAGCGAGGCAAGGGAGTCCCACTCAACCTCGAACCTTGAAAACAATAGGCAAAAGTGAACAGACTTCACTTTCAACCCAACAGGGTAAACAGCAAACAATACAGTCAGGAAAACCAATCAATACATCAGAAATAAACAGCAGAAAAATAAACAGCCACAGCAGCTCTGAATCAACATCTGGCTCCCAGTAATCTCCAATCAGCTATGGGCTTCAACAAGCATCAATCTCCATCTTCATGATCTTCAGGTAAGGGCTTTGATCATCAGTCTTCTATCTGCAATGGCTTTTCTTCAAGTTCAAACCTCCAGGATGAGGGATCAGTCATAAGAGTGAATTGGGTGTTAAGCAATCAGTTGACTACCAAAGGTGGTGAACAGACTGCTTCCAACACAAAAGACATTTTCTCTCAAGAGTTCTATCTCTTAGACACTATCACCAAGCCTTCCAAAGGAAGGGGGTGAGTGTCTTAGAGAGACTCTGAATCACAGAGAAGAATGGAGGCAGACAAGGCCATCCATGTTTGAGAAACAAGCTTTCTAATCTAGAGCTCTGCCTAGCTCCTAAACCCTAGTTCCTCAGTATCTGCTAGCAAGAATCTTCTCTTCAACTCTGGAAGTTGAACTTCAGTCTCTGGATCTCCAATGGCTTTCATATCCTCAAGTCTTCAGCTCTCCCAAATCCCCAGACAATCCCAATACCCACACAGACAAATCAATAATCCCCAGAGGGCACACCACACCAGTCAATCAGATATACAGTACAGTAATAGCAGTAGGGGAATCTTGACTTTTCTAAGGGATCTAATAACTACCCATAGCCCCTATAGTCCCATAACTAAACTAGTCAAACCCTAAGTCCTAGGGGAAAAGAATCTATTCTCCTAAGTCATCACCTAAAAACCCTAGTTTGTTCATGTTATTCACACCTACACTAAGCACCTAAAATTAATTTCTAAAAATGGGAACTAAATTGTATCTACAAGTTTAATGTCTAACCAAAACAACCTAAAAAGAATGGATGAAAAATATGAAAGTATCTAATAGAACAAAAATTAACAAAATCATGTATGAAATGAAACCATTTAAAATGTTATTTATTTAGAAAATAGGGGGAAAATATCAAATAAAAAATAAAATGCCATTTTTATTTTTTATAATTTTCTAGACATCCTAAAGAAAAATATGCAAAAAGAATGAATTAAAAATGATGATTTTGCTATTTATTATGAATTTTATAAGATGCATGAAAAATATAAAGAAATAAAAAGAAAATATGAAGAAATAAGATGAGGGGGGGTGAGAAAAGCAAGAAAAACACGTTCAGTGCATTGGGCTTATTAGAATGGGGGGTGTGGATAGCTCTCTGAGCCCAATCCCCCCAATTAATGAAACGCTGCGTTTCAATTCTTTTGAAATTTCCCTCCGTTTCAACTTTAAATGTGGAGCGTTGGATGAGGATTTGAGTCAACAGTCAAATGGGGATCGTGTGGTGCTGGGGTCGTCTTCAACCTTGAGCCCAAACTCTAGCTCAGAAAAACCCTAACCTGCACACACCTTCGAGCTACTGATTCTCTCTCCCTGCTCCATGAAATCAAAAACTTCCAACAGCAAACTTGCACTATATCAATCCCTCTACACGTTCATGCCAATAGCTTATCCTAAAACTCAATCAATAAGGTAATTCGATAGGCGCAACTGGTCTGATTCACCATTCTCCAACTGATATTGATCCTCTCAATTCTCTCTGGAACTCATCCTAAACCAACCTACAACTCACCCTGATCATTTTAAGCATCCAATCCAAGATTATCTCTCATGATTCTTGACATTCTAAGCTTCACCAGAATTGGTGCACCATGATCAATGTCCATGAAACTTGCTCAAACTTATCAAAATCAATCATCACACCTATCCTAACCAGTCTATGATAACAATTCCCTATAATTATCATTCAATCATGTAATTCGAATGAAGTTACCAACCTGTTATGATGCTGAAAACAGTTATGGAATACACTTGATCCAATGCTTGGAAGGAGGGGAAACTGATCAGTGATCTTGGAGATGAGTTCTGTATGCAATCAGAGAGGCTCCAAAGCTTTGAATCTTCTAGTTCCAAGGTTCTTGCACTTTGAATGATGATGATGAATAGCACAATTCCTTGCTCAATTTGCCAAAGAAATGTGTGGATTCTGACCTTTGTGTGATGATAATGAAGATTGAATCAAGAATGTTGAAGTTTGGTGAGAAATTGATGGAGTTTGAGAAGCTTATGCAAGAATGAAAAATGAGTGAAAATGGAGGTTTTGAACAAAATGGTAGCACCAACCCTTGCATGAATCAGCTTGCATGAATATATAGATGATGTAGGAACCTCCTAGAACATTGGAGAAATTTCCCTTACACTTTCCCTTTTCAATTTGGATTATGTTACTTTCAATTCAAGCAACCATGGATAAATCACAAATTATGACCTAAGCTCACAATTCCACTTTAGCCAATGTTTTTAAAATGCCTTTTCCATTCAAAATGACCTATAATTTTGCATCATTTGGCCAAGATATGAAAAATACCATTTTTTAAGCCATTTTCCTTCATTAAATTCACCAATTTTGAAACCTTGTGCTATGGACATTTCCAATCTCTCATGGTCACTTTTCTAGACTCAAAATGTCATTTGGAGCAAGTTTGATGTTGTAAGTTTTTCCATTTGAGGCCTCCTTGTATGAGTTTTGGACATAGGTTAAAATGACCTGTAATTCACAAATGACCAAAATACCCTTTGCTTGCCTAGATCATAAGTTGAGTTCCACACATCATATGAAGGCATACTATACCATTCTAGAAAGATAAGACAATGAGGAACAATTATTATGTTGACCATAAATTCATTTGAAATCTCCTTGAGGGGTAAAACTAGCTTGGAAGTCAAGTCACTTTCACAGACAAAATTTCAGATACCTCAGATGACCTGTAACTTGCAAGGACCATAACTTGAGTTCTATAAATCTCCTTAATGCCTTCCACCACTCAAATTAAAGGTATTGAGATCCTCTACAAGTTTCATGTTGGCCAAGGATCCATTTGAAGCTTGCATTTTGACTTATTTTGCTTGGAAATTTGACCTAAACTAGGGGATTTTACAGAGAAACCCTAATTTAGAAACTCCTCCTCTCCTTGATTTCTCTTGAACTCTTCTTAGCACAACAACATATCCTTATTCTCCATGTCAAATGATGAACCCCACATCTTTCCAATAGACCTTAATGCCCTCAAATCAATCAATTGACCTAGGGTTGACCTAGGGTTGACCCAGATGAAACCCTAGTTGACTGTCTCCAACTGTAGCTCTTGTGATCACATCAACAACTTGTTTTCTTCTCCAAATGACTTTCTAAGTCCTCCAAGATGTCTAGATACTCCCCATGCTCTCAATTCACAACTCATAATTCCCTTGTTGATCCTCAGACACCCTCAGTTAGGAGATATACTCAGTGCTTGATCCACTGAACTCCCTGCTTTCAAATTCTTTCTTGATGACTTGAATGAGATTGAATTAGGATAATAACCTCTGGATAGGCCTCTAGAGATGAGAATAATGCTTGATCCCCTGTTGAATGACTTGCTATGCTTATGCTATGCAGATGGTTAGGCTATGTACATGACTCTATATGCAAATGCTAATGATATTGAAACATAAACCAAGTGAATAAGGTTGAGCAAATTTTAGGGTGCAACAGCTGCCCCTATTCAAGCGACTTGGACCCGATTGGGTGAAGAGCGAACGACCTTCAAACATTCGAGGTACGAGACGGTTGAATACTAAGAAACCCAGAAATTTGCCAACCGCAGAAATAAACTGCACCCCTATTTGGGTAACGACATCCACTGCCTGGATCTGACTGTTTGCAGCCGCTCACTGATCTCGTAACGACCGTGCTGGGGATAACAGATTGCTTGCTTGTCCACATTAGGACTCTGTCTGTCATCAATATGAAGAAATCTCAACTAGAACCTGTCCACGTTAGGACTCCACTTGCTG